GAGAGACGAAAGGTAAAACAGCAGGAAGGAAGGAAGGAAGGAAGGAAGGAAGGAAGGAAGGAAGGAAGGAAGGAAGGAAGGAGGAAACATAAGGACAGAAAAGCTGGACGTCCAGGTACAGAGAGCAAGTACCCCCAGGGCAGCAACAGATTTGGGGTGGAATTCGTACCACCGAAGTAGAACATCAGTTGGTAAAACTGTATTTGTACAAGATTTTGTTGACAAAGTCATTTCCACACTTTCACTCAAACGCTGATTGGATGCAGTTCACAGTTCAGTGTCCTGCCAAGTTATGCTTCCTTACTGCCAATTGGTCGACTCCATTGACTGCATATAAAGATGTATAAATTCTCTGCGGCATCAACCATAGACTTCCTCCAAACTACTGGCTAATGCAAAAATGAGCAAACAAATGGAGCTAAGTGAAGCTCAAGCGGGTCAAGCTAGCGTCTTTAAAGTTGTCATGAACTATCTCCTGTATCCTCGCCCACCATCAGTCATGCACAACTTTAAGCCTTAACACAATTCACACAGGTGAGTTCTGGAAAAATTCTCTCTACTTACACCTATCATTAGCCAGTAACTTAGCTATAAAGAACAAAACTATTCTTTGCATCTGGCTGTAAATATGTTAATTTCTGATATAAAGTTGATCATTTTAACATTGTGGTATACATGGACTGACTTGTTTTAGGAGTCGGCCTCAAGTGGCCATTTGGGGAACTGCATTTTTTTTCACTTTTTTTCCCACTAGAGATCAAAATACTTTTTTCTACACTAAACATGTTGATTTTCACTGTAAAGTTGGACATAACATACCTTACTTTATTATCTATTTTTACTTTAAATAGGTCAATTACTTACAAAGTAAACATCACCATGCTGTATTCAAAGTCTTGAAACTAGTGATTAAAAGCATAAAGTCATGAGGAAACTGTTTACTGGGGTAACAGATAAAGGAAGAATTAGGGCAGTTTCCCTAAAAATTACATACAATCCAACTTCTTTATGCAGGCAGAGGAGTCGCCCCCTGCTGGCTGTTAGAAAGAATGCAGGTTTTAGGCACTTTAACCTTGGCTTCACTTTTGCTCTGTGACGTCGCCTGTCTGTAACTCAAAGCAGTAACATTCAATTATGTGCAACTTTAAGCCCTAATACAATTTAAACGGTTGAGCTATAGAAAATTAATCTTCCTTGCAGTTGTCATGACGCCAATTGGTCTGTAAACTAGATGTACAGACCAAAGCTGCTTTTTTATACTAGGCTGAAAACACGTTTATTGCTGCTGTAAAGTTGCACATTTTATCACAGAGGTCTTTGGGAATCGACTCTCTTCTGGAGTCAGCCTCAAGTGGACATTCAAGGAAGTGCAGTTTTTCACACATTGGCTTTACTGTTCAACCCGGGAGGTTTCTGCTCCTGCAGTCACGGCTGCCCCATATGTACTCTTGTGGACCTGTATTACTAAAGAGCCCTGATATCGTTTTACTTTATATAGTGCTCACATTGTGATTTTTTCCTAAATAAAGTTGTATAAATTACCAGAAACCATCTGATAAACAGGGAGTCTGTGGCAGCTTGCAGTCTTTCTGTAATATATAATGAACCTGCCATCTGCAGTGTGCAGTAGACACTGTGTTTAAAAGGGAACTCCACTGATTTTACACATCAAAGTCTGTTTGTAGGTCTTGGGGAGCACTACTGTACAATATATGAGGCTCCAGAGGAAACTCCACAAAGTCTGATAAACTGCCTCAAGTGATGAAGACTACAAGTTGGAAAATGAAAAATTGAACTCTGAAGCCTGCTCCTCATCTCTGCTTGAGGCTCGCAGCCAGAGGCTACATTAGCCTCTGCTGAAATCTGAGGTGCATTGTGGGTACACTTTGCAGGTTTTGACAAGGAGAACAAAATGTTCTGCTGCATTAATTCTAATACTTTGTGTTCGAGCGTCCATCCTGAGAGAATTACAGGAGAGCAATGCGAAGCAAGTGGAGTTCTCCCTTAATGAGAAGCATCAACAGCTCATTTAATCTGTAAGAGAGGAAGGGTGGAAGTAACTGCACAGGTGATAAAAGTATTTAATACGTGGGAGAGTCACAACAAAAAGTTATCGCAGCTCTTGTCAGATGTAAAGAGAGGCCTCTGAGTTTTCTGTATGGCTGACAAAGCGCAGCAGCTCCTCTGGGGAACAAGTGTCGGGAGGAGAAAGGAGCAGCCGCCGAGGTTGAAGACTGCTGTGTGAGATAACAAACGTTCGTGACAGCTCAGAGGACTGCAAGCAGAGACGTGGGCGTGTATTTGATGTGTATATAACCACCCGCCTGGCTCCTCAGCCAGCTCACCACTCATGAGGCATGCAGTGGACGGCCGGGGCTTATTCCAACATAAATAATGTCTCTGATCCTTTCTTGGGATGACGAATTTTATAAAGATGGGATTCTTTGCGGTGAGGAAAGGGGTTACAATGGTTAACCGAGCGGCCACAAGTGGATGTATGGGACTGATTAGGACCCTGGAAATGAGATTAAAGAGAGATCTACCAACAGATTGAATTGTATTTGCCATAATTGCTGAGAACAGCTTATTCAGTGCAGACCGCAAAAAAGAGAATCATAAAACCAAGGAAGGCGGAGGAGTGGAGCGGAGGCAAGGCTGCCACTTGAAACCAGCAAGCTTTTCTCAAAGAAATCAAACCCAGGACAAATCTTGTATCAATTAGAGGGTGTGTGTGCGCTGCATGTTTGTGTGAACAGTGGATGGAATAGCAGATAGATTAGCTCTCACTCATAAACTCTGATTCTGCTTAAAGGTGGTATTAATTTTTTATTTATTTTTTTTCCTTTTTGCAGTATGAGTAATCTTGATTATTTTCAAAAGCAAAGGCCAATTCAGCCACATTATACTTTTTAAATGAAAAATTCCCCTGCACTCAGAGGCTGTGCACGCCATGAATTTATCCGAAATGAGATAACTGATACAGCCCTGACCTCTGTTCTCAGCATCCCGCTGAAAAGAGCTTTAATGAAAAATAAATCTTGTGAAGAGAAAAAGAGCAACAGACAAATCAATAGAGGCACAGGCTTAAAGATAAAAGTGAGCGCTGTGTGCCAAAGAGCTACTCGCTCTCATTCCTGGGTTGATTGTGCTTAAAGTGAAACCACATGAACTGAGCTGCTCCCACAAGGGGAGTAAGAGCGTGTGGAGCTAAAAGCACACATATACTTCGTCACTTAAAGCGCCTAAAAAAATGTGGTGTTTTTCTGTTACATGAAATATTCATGACTCAATGAGCGACTGTCAGCTTTAAAGTTCAGCAACAAGCTGCTTCATCAGATTGTGTGGGCGTTGTTTGATCACGTTTGAGTGACGTGACCCCACAACCGTGCAGTTTAAATATGCTGATTGGTGCGCAGACATTTGTGAACAATTTTGTAACAAAGCCCCATTCATGATCAGCAATTGAAACTCAGTAACCAAAAACACAAATACACAAATCTGTGATGTAAAATAACCACAACTGTTCTGACTTCTGTGTTTATGCAGAACTTAAGCAGCAACATCTGGGGCTGAACAAGTGCCAAGAACTGCAGTTCCTCAAATGTCCACTTGATAGTGGCTCCACAAGTGAGTCAGTCCCCATAGAAACCCATGTTAGAAGATCCACCGCCATAGCAGAAATAAACATGTGTACAGCCGAGTACAAATACAACAGTTTTGGTCTCTTGAGCTAATTTCCTTGTTCATGACAATTGTACAGAGGTGCTTTTTAATTAATTAATTAATTAATTAATATATATATACTTTTTTTTTTTTTTTTTTACATAGCTCACCTGTTCACTCGATATTCAGACTTGAAGTTATGAATAATTAAGGGAAGTGCCATTTTGGGTCACTGGTAGGTGCCGTTAACACGACAGTCCTTGACCCAGAAACCATCAACTGTATATAAAAGATGGATGTAGCAGCCAGACCTGACACAGGAAGCCAACACCAAAGAGCCCTAAAACTTAATAAGAAAAGAACCCTACTTCTCACTTGATTTGTTACCTCAGTGAACAATGTCCCAATGGATTTCTGGTCTCAATCACCAGTTTAATGACTTTTTGAATACAGCTTGGTGTTTATTTTGTAAATGGTGGGGCCATTTAGTGTAAACCAGACAACAAAGTAGGGTATTTTATTTTATTTTTTTAGAGTGTAACTATTTTTCGATTGATGTCGCCATGCATACTGTCCTCGAGTCATCAGTCAGGTCCATCGCTTGCTTGTTAGTTCTTGTTTCAAAATACCAAGATGGCGACGGCCAAATGCCAGACTTGATGCTTTAAAGCAGTAGTCCACAAAGCAATGGGTGGCGTCACAAAGGCTCTGTCTGTCTTTTGTATACAGTCTATGCCAGAGACATTATGGAACCCTCCATAATGTTACAAACCTGTTTGTAACATTATGGAGGGTTCCATAATGGAACCCTCCATAATGTTAGGGCTCATTAAGGTCAGGGTTCATCTTACATGCAGTCAATGGTAAAAAGGGTTCATCTTACATGCAGTCAATGGTAAAACCTCACTGCTCATTGTAAGAAGCAGATTATGACCAGATTAAGAGACTAGTCATGTTTGGAGCGTTGCAGAGCTGTGCTTTGAGCTAAATGCTAAACATTAGCTTGCTTGCTTGCTGAATGTGCTAACAAGCTTATGTTATGTTTCACAGATGAAATGTTTGACATCATATATCAACATTATGAGCTAATTATCACAAAACACAGTACAGCTGAATCTAAAAGAATGTAATTCGTTTCAAAAATCTCATTTTGACCAGATATTGCCTGTAGTCAGGAGGCCACCAAAGCATGAGCATGATTCTTCCTTCTTCAGAACATCAGTGTTGAAACCACATTTCATTGAAATCCCTCCTTGAATTGTTTAAGAATTTCAGTTTGGATGCACCACTATTGAGAAGGTTTAGTGCAGGAATGACAAAATGCACAGAAAAGAATGTAGTTTTCTATGTTAGGCACTTTTATTGACTTTGTATGATTGATTAACAAACACAAATATTGTCAGAGAACACATCCAGTTTAAACAGATTTGTTAAACAGTACATTTATTTATAGATTTAACTGGATTCAGTTTATAGTCTGTTAACAGTAGAGGGAAGACGTTGAGAAATATCCCATAAAAATAGTGTTAATCCTTAACATCTGCAGAGCAAAATGCAAGAGGTGTCATTTTTTTAAACTATGGTGGGTGTAATTAGAGTTTTTGGCCAAAGTATAAAAACAGAGCAAGAAATGTTACTTATTAAAGAGTGTTAGCTGAGCAGTAAAGATAGGAGTGCTTCAAATAACTAACCGTTAACGGGCTAATTTATCCACATAAATAAAGGGATCTGCTGTATTCTTATGAAATGACATCCTACAGTAAAAGTTACCCTGAACATGTTTTGTGCCGTTCTACGTCCAGACCTGCTGAATATCAGAAATGTCACACTGTAGGACAGTAATTAAAGTAGTACAAAGCTATGAAAAATATATCAGTGTAAAGGCACAAGAGACTCGCTCAACAATCACAACACCACTACACTACACCGTCAGGAGTCACAAAGAGTCGGCTCAGAGGTACGCACCTATCGCTGCAAGAGAGCTGCACAGTTCACTGCTGCAGAAATTACATGAAGTCAAGCTTTAGCTGGTTTTAAAAAGGGGGTCTGGTTTAAACGTAGGACTGCAAAGCAACAGGTGCTAGCAGATGAAGCTCTGTCAGTTTCACATTCACATTTCATATTCTCACAATTATCTGTAAGCTTTGTGATAAATTTCTCTACCCTGTGCAGATATTACAGCTTCCAAAAACAACAGCTGTCTACCTCTGAGCCGCAGTGATTATTACAATTTCTATCAACTTGGCCTGCCAAGTCTCACCACTAGAGGACACTCTGGTTTCAACAAAAAGACGACGTGCCACTGCAAACTGTAGGACACAGCAAGATAGCTCCACTCCACAGCCCCGTGACTCAAATCCAGCATGACCACTGTGCGAGACACACAGCTGAACACTCTCCCAAACCTACCGCAAACCGTCTACTACAAAAATGGCAAGTGGTTTTTAGATTTGGATCTATTTCAGGTCTTTGGTATCTGACTAGTTTGGACCTCAGAAGACGATAAATGAGTCTGACATGAGCGAGGGTAAAGCACAGGTTCACATTTTTTTGACTGAATACTATATTCACAAATCCTTATGTATACTCATGGATGTATTGGTAGCTGTGATCATTCCTTCTGTCTGTACTGGCTCCGAAAAGATCCCTGTCAAATGTTACTTTGATGTAAGAGATGGAGGATGAAGTCCTCAGTCAAAAATTAACTCTAGGTTCAATATGAGGCTTCCAGCAATCAGATGTACCTAAACTTTCTTCTAAACTTACAGCAATTTTACTACAAACGTAACTTTTTTGTTAGAGTGTCTTCCCTCCAGCTCAGGGAAAACCACAGAGCGTATTTCAGAGTAAAATGGTGAATTCATTTTTTACATTTATTTAAATTTTTTTCACAAAGAAATACAGATTTCCATGTCAAAAAGACTCCACTGCATCTCTACTTCCAAAATAAACTAAACTCCTTTGGAAAATGTTGACATTTCATTCATTTTACTGCAAGTGCTTTATCTAATTTCAGATTTGTGGTGTTGGATATTGCTGGCCAGCTCCAGACTGGGCACTTGCACGTTTCATATTAGTACTTTCAGATTGATTTTATGTGTATGAATTCCGACTGTGTGTGTCTTTGTGAATTTAACTGCATCACACTGAAAAAGCAGTACGAGCCAGAGGAATCATTACAGCTTCCAGTAACTCTTTCAATGAAAAAACTGCCATCTGACTTAGAAACATGTGAACCTGCCCTTTAAATTCAAACAAACACTGTTGCTAACAGCGGAAACATTCTGCATGAGAGCTGACTGTCAGGAGGGAATGTGAAAAGTGGTCTTTGTGTATGAAAGGGACCCACATTTCAAATAACTTCCACGTTACTGAATATAATGAGTTAAAGCTGCATGAAATGCATCAATTTGCATCATTTATAAAAGACTGAACTGAAATGTACAAATTATTAGAGTAATAGCAGCTGATTAACTTTTCGCTGGTCAGTTTGATGCAGATCATTGGTTTACAGTGATTCATAAGCATTTAGATGCAAATAGAGCTTTTTTTCCTGTGTTTCTACTAAAGTTGAAATAACACATTTGTACCTACAAATGCTGCAGTTATTCACCTGTAAGCACAGCACACAGATTTAAGATATTTGGGAATCAAAGTGCAGCATTACTACAACAAAAATGGATTTCAGAACAGGCTGTTTGGAGAAATTTGTCACACCGGGCACCCACAGGGGCCACAGCGGGGACACTTTACAGAGGGGGATGTGAAAACGGTGAATTTGAGTCAGCAGGTAGCATGGTGTTTTGAAGCTTTAGCACACAAACTCTTGTCTCATGCGGATGATCTGTAGTAAGGCGGCCTGGACGTCCTCATCCATGTGGCCCTGAGAGAGAAAACAGGCAGGAGGCGGTTTCAGTTATTCAATTTCCACCACATTTCTCACATAAGAGATTGCTCTGCCCTTCAGCGCCTGTGTACTTATATGTCAACACACTTTGTGGCAGTGTATTATCTTTTTTGATGTTCCCTGTTGTGATTAAAGAATTTGAAGGCTGCTCCCACTGGATTACAGCTCTTATTACATTTTCTCAGTTCATCTGCAAAGGCTGCTCCAAATAATCAGTTCACTACACTCCAGTGCAAATATATGAATTACCTTTGATTTCACTGTGAATGTTGACAAAGTTGCAGAAAGTGGCTTCTTGTTCTTCACCACAGCACAAAAAGGCAGGAGTTCAGGAACATGGTTTTATTGGCTACATGTCCTACAATCTGTGTAACTGTGTGATCGTTTACAATTTAAATGTGCGTTAAGGCCGTGTTATACAACCCTTCAGAGATCAGTTTTGCCTCTCAGGCTGTCGTTGGAGCATTTCTGAGCTCCTGTTCTCATCTTTATACCATCTTACTCTCATAGTCACCTTTTGTTGCCATCTGGATGGTGGAAATTTATCAATATCTAATAACATTTTTGGAGAGCGCTTTTCAGAACAAGTTCACTTTGGAACATCTAAGGATTGGCACACTGCATGCTAACAATACAAATTGACATAAACACCAAACAACGACTGGGTTGTGGCTCAAAAACAGTCCCCTTTTTATCAAATAAAGGCTCTAGTTTTATGCTATCAAGTGTTTTGATAAGATCATCCAACTCTTTTCCAAAACGAGTTACATTTAGGAGCATTTCTATCAGTTCACTTTTTCTTCTATGAACTCTGTTCTCCAGTCAGGGAATCTCAGAATTTAACTTCTTTGCTGTAGCTGCTCTCAGCAATGGTCATTAGCAAACAGTCTGAATGTCTAAATAATATTGAGACTATTCATGGAATGAGACATTCTTCGCAGATAGTGCCAAGGCAGACAACTCTTGCCGCAGTAGAGATTAGGAGCCCATAATATGTTCATTTATAGGTTTACAATTTCATTTTTGCAGTCTACTAGGATATGTTCAGTTGCTTTAATGCTCAAAAAACACATTATTTTTGCCAAACTGTGCAGTGCTGAAGCGTTTCTTTTCCCTCTTAACGTTTTAGCGCCCTTCTCTTTTGAAATTATGGCGCCTCAGTTTGGTCAGCTGGTCTAATTCAGGCAAGTTAGTGTTGGTTTTGTGCCATAACCCCAGATCTAGGAATACAGACAGAGAGATGTAGCCCTAGCAGAAGCAGCTCTAGTGAGAAAATAATGGTAGACTGTGAGGAAGTCACTCATTCTTTGTTTGAGGATGCGCCAAAATGAGTCACAGAAGAAAAGCCTGGATTTAAAATGAGGTGTTTCAGGCAGGTAGGTAGCAATGTTCTCCAAGGGGAGGAATTATTCTCTTTGGGGTGGGCTTTGTAAGTCTGCAGACCTTTAACAAGGACAAATATGTCATAACACACTAAAGAAAAGGGGAGGAGAACCACTAAAGGCATAACACAGGCTTGTTAATAAAAGGAGCTTACCTGGGCTGCACTGAGAAGATGAGTTCGATAAATTGAAACCACCTCTCTGTGTTGCCTCTCAGCATCCTTATGGAGCAGAAGGGGGGAGAAAGACATGAAGATGACACAGCGGTTATTATTATTTCAATGTCTAGTCAGATTCAATGACAGCAATGGAGGTGTCGAATTCTTGTTTTTACATGTAATCACCCAGTATACATAATGCAACAACTACTATGAATAAAGTCACTTGTTTAGTATTTTTCAACCTTATTTGCAAATAAAAAATTTTTAAAAATCAACCAAAATGTGTGACAAAATGTTGCTCTACTGAGGCACAAAAACGTAGAAATATCACAGTGTAAAATGCATAGAATTAAGAGCTCTTACTAGCTCCTTCAGTTGCTTTCCATCACTGACAAAAAGGCTGCTACTGTGCAGTAAACCTAACTACACATAAAACAGGAGATGTATATATTTCCAACTATTTTTGCACTCTCATTGTAAATAGAGCCATTTCTGTCACCTTATTGTTATTTCTTCGACCAACATGATTTGCAAGTTAACTGCATGTCCTATTGTACAATGTTTCCTTGTCTATGTTGTATGTAACACGTGTGAGCTGGATACCTTGAATTTCCCCAAGGGGAGGAATAAAGTATGTATCTCTATCTGTTGACATGATTTTGTATGATGTACACTTTAGTGTGTGCTGCATGTCCACTCACAGCCAGCTGTTGCTGTAGGCTCTTGATCTGGGCTTGGAGTGTGTCAATGTGCTGCGTCTGTCTCTTATTGGGTGTGTTGCTTGTATATGCCAGCTGGGACAGACCATTCAGCGCCTGCTTCAATCGCTCAACGTCTGTGAGCAGCTCTGTGATCTGACAAACACACAAAAGGTACACATGTATTAATGTACTTTTTCATGACTGTATCAACAACATAAGAAAACTAGAGGATTTTATGCCTAGAAACAGAAATACATGTTTAAAAAATCTGATTGTTGGTTTTTATTTTCTAAGAGGTGGAAATTAAATAGACATGAATACAAAAATAAAGAAAAAACGTAAATACTTTTCATAATGGATTATCACATTTTATACACATTTAACCATAGTGAAATATACATACAGTCTGTATCAAAAGTGTTTAAAATGATAAAACAACGACTGAGTACAAATAAAAGCTATTCATAATTCAATATAAAGTGACATTTTTATACCTTCTTGTCTTTGGTTTCAGTCTGTTGGGCTGATGTCTGAATCCTTCTCTGGAGATCACGGATGGTGCTGAGTGATTCGTCATACCTCTCCTTCAGCTCTCTAATTTCCCTTTCAATGGCTCGTCCCTTCTCCTGGACCGCCTCCATCTCTGTCCTGGCTCTGCTCTCGCCCTCTCTTGCTCGCGTTACCTCCTGATGCGCCTCTTCACACTCCTCTGCTAAGCTCAGTAGCTTGTTGCTCATGTTGGCAGCCTCCTCCTCCAGCTGCTGCTTATCCTTCTTCAGCTGGTTCATTTGGTCTTCCTTGTAGCGAATCTCTTCGAGAGCCTGCGTGGCTTGAAGGAGCTCAGACTGCAGAGCAGATACGTCTTCAGCCCGCTGGGCGTCGTTCTCCTCCTCTTCACGAAGAGCCACTCGAAGCTTTGCGACTTCAGCCTCCAGGGCTTCCTTGGCCTTGGTGTGTTGTTGCAGCAGAGAAGCATGATCCCCGCGGCGTTCCTGAAGTTCTTTCTGTAAGGCACAAACCTTCTGGGTTTCCTCCTGTTGAGCCTCTCTGGCTCTCTTGCAGTCGGACTGGGCTTGCTGCATGGCATCATGGAGGGCTTTCAGCTCTGAGTCATATGTTGCTATCCGAGTCAACTCTGATTTCAGACGCTCCTGGAGATTCTGGATCTGAGTGTTGCAGAGGGCATTCTGGTCATGAAGTTCAGCTTTCTGAAGTGTTACCTGTTTGTGCTCCTGCTCTAAGCTGACCAACGTCTGGTTTAACTCCTCATATTTAGCACTGAACTCTGCCTCCACTTCTTTGTGCTTTCCATTGGTATCCAGAGCAGTGTCCAGTTTCTGCTGAACAGATTCGATCTCAACTTTTAGTTTCTCTTTCTCCTGTGTGCTGCTCTCTCTGGCAGACTTTTCTTTGTTATACTTCTCCTCCATCTCCAACAGTTTGACTGTCAGCTCCTTCACCTGGGCACTGTAAGAGGTTTCTTTCTCCTCAGCTGCTGTCAGTGGGACAAACTTGGATTGAATAGCCTCCTGTATGGTATCAAGTTCTTTCCTCTGGGCCTCCAGTTCTTGAGTAAGTTTTACTGTTTCCTCCTGAGCCGACACATACATTGCTGACGCTTCATTTGCTCTGTTCTCTGCTTCGACCACGGCAGCATTCAACTTGTCTGTGACAACTCTGTGATCTTTTATGCTGATATAGTCCCTTTTAATCTCCAACTGAACTTCTTCAAACTTTTCTTTCAACTTTTCATTTCCTTCTTTCACATTCTTCAATTCTTCCCCACTTTCTTTTTCCTTGGTCTCCATTTTCAACATCTCAACTTTAACACTCTCCAAGGCGGAACTTAACTCCATCTTCACTTGCTCATGCTGCTGTCTGGGAACGTACTGTCCCTCTAAGCTCTGTTGCAGAGTCTGGCTCTGTGCAGTCAGCTGCACACACTCTTTATCTCGGTTTTCACATGTCTTCTGCAAAAGTTCAAGTTTCTTCATCAGGTCAGCATTTTGAGACCTCAGAGCGTCCATCTCACTCTGGTGTTTCTCACCAGCACTGTGCAGGCTGCCGACATTCCCCTGCAGTGTGGCTCTCTCGGTTTGAAGCTGCTGAATTTGTGCCTCTGCTTTTCCGTAACGTTCACTGGCTTCCACCAGTTTGTCTTCAAGCTCCTCCAGAGCTGCTACCATGTTCGTCCGAACTTCCTCGTGGTCCTTTATGGGTATGAAGTCTATCTCAATCCTGCTATTGATCTCATCCAGCTGCTCTCGTAATATATCTCTTTCCTCCTCACTCTCCTCGACCTCATGAATCAGAGCCTGGCTTTTAGCAGTCACGTCCACCAGCCTCCTTTTCAGGGAAGCGTTCTGTTCTTCGAGAGCCGCCCGTATCCTCTGCTGCTCCTCGGCAGACATTGTCCCTGATCCTCCCTGGGATGATGGACTGTCCAGCTTCCGATGGAGGTCTGCCACCTCCTCTAGCACTCGATCATAGTCTTCCCTCAGCTCAGCGAGCTGCCGTTCCTTCTCATCAACTGCGTTAGTCAGGAGGTTTTTCATGTTGTCAAACTTCTCAGCTGGTACTGTGTTGCCATGTTTAGTCTGCGACTCTTTCAGCTGGGTTTCCATCTCTACAAGTGTTTCTGCGAGTTCATCTCGTTCTGCAGTCAGAGCTCCCATTTCCTGGTTCAGCCTCTCTGTCTCAACAGCTAGCTCACTCTCACTGGTCTTGTACTCCTCCAAGGCTTTCTCACTCTGTTTGAGACGATTACGAACACGACCTACTTCAGCTGAAGCACCTTCATATTTGGCCTTGACATCCAGGAGCTGGGCACGCAGTTCTTCAGTCGCTTGGCCTCCTAAGTGTTCCTTGACAGCAACTACATGTGCTTGCAGCTGCTTGACTTTACACTCAGAATCCAGCATCCTCTTCTGGACGTCTCCCAAAGCGTCCTCAAGTTCTTGAACCTGCTGATCAGCCTGTTTCTGGATCGTGTCTCGGCTCTGAACCAGTTCTTGGCACTCCCGGTTTTTCCGGTTCAGCGCAGATTGAAGACGTGCTGTCTCCTCCTCTGCTGCCTGTTGTCTTCTCTTGACTGCATCGAGTTCATGTCGGAGTGCCTCCAGTTCACCAGAGAGATCCCAGCCTACCGTGGGCTGACTCTTCTCTAGAGGTCTGGACAGTGAACGTGACATGGCAGGATTCTGGAGCATCTGCAGAGAAAGAGAAAAAAAGAGATAGAAATGTGCACCTAATAAGGCAAAAATATCATAACTCGTCATCTTTACCAGAAACGTACCACTACATTTGAGAGTACAGAATATTTGTGCTTTCTGTTACATTCACAAAGGGTTCTGTAAGGTTACCTCGAGTACAATTCTATCACTTTGTACCTTTTCACTTCAGACTGATTATTTCTTAAAGATGATGGAGTGAATCGGTTCTAATTATGTTTTGCTCAGAGCAATAGAAAAATGATCCAGTCAGGGTCTGTATTAGCAGTTTAATTTGCATGCAGACGTATCCTTTTGTAAGTCCACCATTGTTAACTCTTAGACTTTTTACATGCAAACTTCAAACACTGTAATATAGACATTTGCAACTAGCATATAGTTTGAAAGAAAAAACAAACTTACATGATCAGAATCCAGGCTGTGAGCTTGTTTCACCAAAATGTTTTCTTTACCTGCAAGACAACAGCACACAGACATGACATTCAAATCACATCACACTCTGCTGGTAAAGTTCGAAATTAGGATGTTGTTAGGATTTTTATTAATGAACCAATTAAACAGAAGGAAGCTAACCTTTGATAACAGACTGTCCAGAGTACTCCCCCTGTGAATTCATACAGACACAAAAATTCATTACAAACGCTTGAAAAACCAACATTTCAAACACTATATAGTTGCTTATATATATTTCACAAACACACTGTAATATTTACTACGTTTATTATTAATTTTCTTAAAGTAGACAAGGTAAGTTTACTAGGTACACAGTTAACTGGAGAGAACTTTAAAACTTGAACTACAAATCAAAACATATCAAATGTATTAATTTCCCTGTGGATTAGAGCCTTAAAAAGAGAAATCCAAGTTGCATAAAGTCACTAACCAAAGTACTCCGGAGCTGAACCTTGACAGTTTCAGGGCCTCGAGCTCCTTCCTCTCTTTCTTTGGCACTGAGTAGCACCTTCAACTGCTCCTTCTGGTTAATTATAAAAGAAAAGCGAAGGCAGGAGTCAATGAAACAAAAGCAACCAGATACAGCAGTGCTTCAAAGCTTTTTAACTCTGGAGAATTTTCAATATTTCTGCTTAAATGTGTACTACAACATCATGAGATTTTCTTACAGGCGATAAAAGCAGTTTAGAAAAAAAGGGGAAAAAAAGAACCCAAATTCACAAATCTGACAAAAATATTCTATTTGATCATGTATTGTTGAAAAAGTTACAATATTATGCATCAGTGAGTGGCAAAGGTGTCTTGGATTAGCAGTTACTTTGCAGGTGAAACTAGAGGCAGGCATTTTCAATGAGGTATGAGTGGGTGCCCTGTTTTATTAGTAGAACATTAACTGTCCAGCAAGCGGGGGGACCTGAGTTCACTTCAAAGAGCAGTAAATTGTATAATCTGAATTGATACATACTTTGCAAAAAAACATTCAGATCTTATACAAACCAATATTGTTACAGCTTTGAAAAATGCTCAATGAATAGCTACGAGAACTTTCAAACTGTACATTTCACTTCCATATTCTACATACATGCTGTGTGAACTGTTCGGTTTTGGCCTTTTGAAAACTTAGATACCAGAGATCTACTAATTTATTCACTACTCCACAGTTTGTGTTTTTGAAACTGCTTGTATAAGTTCAAAAAAAGGTTGCAACAACAGCAAAGGAGCTTAGTGAAGACGTTTAAGCAAGAGCAAAACTATGTTCCAAAGTGCAGAAAACACACGAGCAGCAACTTGTAGTCAAAGTTTTTAAGGCAGCAATTAAGGCAATCCTAAAGAGAGGACAGCTGGTCTGTAGGAGAGTATATCTTTATGAGACAGAACGGCATCTGTGTCCAAGATACGAAACCATATGGACAAATACTTATCCACCCAATTAACTGGATTAACTAAAAAAGGTAAAACACAATTGACGTTTTGATGGAAAGTGTACGACTTTCAGTATATTCACAGGTGCAGTTTTACATCAAAAGTTGATTAATTAAACAATTGATGAAAAAGCCTTCTTTTTGAAGAAGAAGAATTTAGTACTGTTTAAGGAATTGTTAATTATGTGCTTTTCCCTTTTCCCTCCTCTTCCTTTACACACAATTGGTTCTGTTAATAAAACACGAGCAACATCCTGCCAAGTCTTTCATTTGCTCTTGAATTTAGGAGCCAGAGGTATCCACACTGCACTCATGACTGCTGCCTTTATGTTTTGTATCCTTTTTGAAATTAATGTACTGTGATAACAAATTGATTGTTGGATGCACCCAATTTAAGATTCCTCAAACAAATTTCAGGATGAAAACGACAGAGATAATAATAAATGAGGCTCACGGGATGACTTTGTTTCATACCTCTTTCTGAGTGTTTTCCACAGCCAGTTTTTCCTGCAGATGAAAAAGGATCACACATCAATTCAATTGAGGGATTAATAATTGACAAAAAACGTCACTAATATTCATTTCATTTCATTTCCTTGTTCTCCTGTGGATGAAAATTGTTCTGGCAGCCAACAATGAGGGAAGGCAGTCATCAATCTTTTAAAAAGCAATCTGCTCTGCGACCTCTGGAAGGAACAGCTGAGGTCGTAAAATTATTACACATTTCCTAAATCACATTCTATCTTAGAAGAATCTGAGACTGTGATATTAGGACAAGACAGTCTGACTCCGCTCAGCTTTTATTATAATATTTGCTTATACTCAGCAAGTAAACCCTGAGCAGATCTACCCTCAGATCTAACCATCCAGTGCACTGAACAAAACAAGCCAGACACTTTACTGTACTGTTTAGCCCAGCTCAGTAGTTCTTGCTGTGGCAGTGTATTAACCTGAACTTACCTGTGTGAGCTGTTGCTGGAGCATGTTGACCTTATCTAACAGAGCCTTCTGCTCCTGGTGGTATTTCCTGAGGCCTTCCTGAAGGGTCTCATTCTGCCTTTCCAGGTCCTAAAACACAAGTAAAACCAAAAAAATGTAAACAAACCACACCTCATTGACTGAAGACTAAAAAAAAACAAAACACTAAATGCATCAGTGTTTTATTGATAAGGATGTGCTGGTTAATGACATTGACTTTGAAGGCAGTGAATTTAAGCAACAAGTGTTTATTGGTGCAAAAGCTTGTGCAGAATAGAGAGGCTGAAGATATACAGCACTTACATGTATGATCTGATCCCTTCTGTTAGCCTCAGCTGCCTCCACTCTCTCCACTGAATGCTGAGGAGAAGACAGGATCTTTTTTAGTGTCATGTTTTAAAGGTTGGTTAACACTTCTAACCACAAGATGGCAGTCATGCACAAGTGAGCAGCAGTATGCCCTCTCTGAGATGAACAACACCAAGTGAAAAAAAACAATGTGAAATGTGGTGCATCAGAATAGGTTAGAACAAGACTGGCTTCACAGTGTCTTTCTGAAGGCTGGAAATGAAAGTTACTGACAAAAATGACTGACTTAATGCCAACAATTGCTTTAGGATGCAAGCAACTGTGACCTTTGCTATCTTGAATGAAATGAGTTTGGAAATGAAATGGCTATACAATTGCCATTTCTTTGTTATTTTCATTATGCTACATGCACTAATGAAGGTTCTCTAATGTATGTCTGCAAGCAATGCAGAGAATAACAGACGCTATCATTATAGGTCTAAACCCTAACCCTTTAATGGATAAAACTCAATGCAGCATGATTACCTGCCGCTTCCACTGTTCGATCTTTGCAGCCTCTTTATCTGGAACAAAATGAGAAAACAGCAAGTTAAAATGTCATTTTTTTCTATCACTTGTATGTAAGATTTGACAAAGACAGGTTTACAGAACAATTACCGAAAAACAGGTTCAAGGGAAGTAACGGACAATCAAAAATATAACAAGACAAATTTCGTTGAGTCAAAACTATAGCTTATGACATTGTGAGATCTTACAACTGCAAAGTTGTAAGAAGCACTTACTAACATAAGGATAAAAAAAAAATCTATAGAGACATGGTTTTTGAAATGCTACTAAACCAGGGGAAAATAAAAGCAAAAAAGCAGGGTAATCACTATGGAAGTCAGTGACTTACTGCATGAAAATATTCAGTTCAACTTCAGTTCAATCTCATTTATATAACAGTTTACAACATATGCCATCTCACAGCGCTTACATAGTAAGGTACAGACCATACAAATTTATTGTTAATATTGTCTTGTAAACTATCCCTCCTTCTTTATTGGTCTGATAAGTCATGTTTGCTGTCAGTGGTTTTGCTAACTACACTCTTCTTGTGTGTATTCCAAACAAAGAAGTAAAGGATTTATGTATGTTCTGTCTCTAGTGGTATTCTGCCTCCTGACCTCTGGTGGCTTTGTCGAGGTAACTTTTGACAATGGCAACGAGCTCAGGGTTCTTGCTGAAGCGAGCGTAGTGAAACGCATCGTGACCCAAGCCATCAGTTGCCTTCACATCAGCGCCACTCTTCAGCAACACCTCCACTGCATCCTTGCAGCCATACTCACAGCCCAGAATCAGCGCTGTTCTGAAGGGAGAGAGCAGAGACAGCCTATAAGCATGAACATGTACAAACTAGCTTTGTAACAATTGTGTTATTGAATATGAGGGTGTCAGAACGAAACATTTCAACATGCATTTAGCTCAACAACTGTTGAGTAATTCAGTGCTGTGGTAGGTGAACTAAGATGATTTGCTGTGTTTCTGTTGCCACACAGTTTTTGGGGTTTCTTAACATTTCAAAAGACAGAAGACAAAAATCATGTCTCTACTGAAAGGCACACAACTAAATCAGGAATTCTGTGAGTCATTCTCCCAGTTGAGCACGACTGGACGGTAGCATAGGTACTAGTTTAACTACATTTCTCAGCAGCGTGGTGATAACAAAGTTGTGAATTCTGTGAGTTCTGACTCAGAACACTTTCATAGTGAAACTATTTTATTAATGAGGTAATTCAATAGCATACACAGAAGCCACATTTTCCAGAGCATTTCTAACGCCACAAGCACATTGGTACGGTCAGTGTAGTCTAAAATAAAGCGAATGATCAGCACATACTGAACACCAGCTTGCAGTTTGTCAACATCTATCTACTAGCTAGCTGAGTGTTTTTTCACATAGCTGCTAACATAAATATAAATTCAATAACTTAGCTTTTGATGTAGTAAAATACTTTCGCCGTGTTAGAGTAGCTTACTTTATTTTCCACATATGTGTAACACTGCCTATTAGCATGCCTAACATGCAGAATTAAGATTTCATTTTAGAAACCAAAGACACGAATGTGCTGTTAAAATGCCCTAAAGACAGTAACTGGAAGGAAATCCGACTTGTTTAAGTTTTCCAACCTATACAGAGCAACTTGGTTTTCCAGTTAAATAAACAAACGTCTGCAAATCCTATCAAACACCATGAGGGCTTCTGACTCCTACTTGTTTTGTTTGTCCCGGACAGTGATATCAGCCCCTCGCTCCAGCAGCAGCTGACAAATACGTGGATGACACATCTGGGTTGCCAGCACCAGAGGTGTCCTGCCATCCTGCAGAAATACCAAACACATACACATGAATACACAAATACACAATACTTCACAAAATCGCAAATTGCAATATATTACAGTCCTATACTGTCGAACCTAAAGAAACCTAAAATGCTTGAAGTAATCCAGAACGTAGAGAGCGCCCATTCAAGTGGATTACATAATACATTTTTGTGCTGATCTAACTGACCTGACATGCAGGTGATGGTTTCTATTGATGAGGTTAACAGCCTTTAAGGAGCAAACAAATAGATCCGCTTTTCTACAATGACAACTAAACACATGGGGAAAAAAATTGCTCAGGCTACTTCAACACATTTTGTGAAATGAGGTGTAAGATCAATTCTCACAAAATCAGTGATGTTCACAGAAGCGCCGCTGTCACAGAGCAGCTTCACACTGGAGGAGCAGCCCGCCATGACTGTGGAGAAAAACAGCAAAGAAAACGATAATTATTTCACCCCGTTTGGGTTATTTTTCATGCCATCTCACCCTGCCAGTTCGTGTTGTGAATTTTATTGAAGAAACGATGATGTGAAATCTTGACCTTGCACAATTCTGAAGTTCTACACTTAGACTGGAGATTTTTTAAGTTTGGTCTTCGGAGATAAATTTTAAGATTTTTGCGATTCCTTCTAGGCATCATTAATCGTTTATTTTTCCACTAGCTTGGGCTGATATTTGAACAAAACATCTATGAAACCCTAAGGATAATCTGCACAGATACTGCTGAATGTCTTACAGTAAACAAATTGAATATTCACTTTCTTGCAACTGAATTTTAAATCTATGTTGTAATAATGTGGTTTTGTCACATCTCGAAGTGATTTTGCAGCGCAAAAAAATCGGACTTCCACAGATTTTGCAAAATGTAGCTTTAGAACTGACTGTATATTTTCCCAAGAAAGAAATGTGTTAATTGGAAAAGGTATAATATTCACCAAATGATTATAAAAAATTGAAAGATGTTATAAGACACCATCATTTAATAAGTAGCTCCTTTTACACACTCGGCACTGGCTACAATGTCAGACAGGGAGGTATTTGTACTATGCTGACCTCAAGGTTTTCGATCAGTGTGATGGCTATGTACACAGTATTTGGCTTATATTATACTTTATTAGGTACACCTGTAAAATCAAAGGCAATCCAATACAGCCGCTCTGCCATAGATTTCCCATTTATAAAGCTTCTTTTTAGTTTTTGTTAATCTTGTTAATGTTGCAAGTGTAAGAAAGGCTCAATTACAGGAAATTGCTACTTTTTTTTTTTTAATATAGCTACAATGAATATTAAGCACCATCCACTGAGACCTCATTAATAAACAGAGTAAAATTATTGCCTTTTTGTTCCTAGTGCAGAGACAGAGACAGCACTTGGGTAGAAAACAGTTCTAGGGTAGAAGTGCTGGTAGAGTACATGGTTTGTCTGACTCGGAATGGGCTTTTCTAGGATAACTATGTATGTTAGGTCAGTAACTATGATCGGTCCGTAGCCAATGAGCTTACTTTATTTGACAGACATTTCTCCATTTTCCTGTTATTTCTGAGCATTTGGAAAAAAAGAAAGGTAAATTATGCTTGAAATTAAACCCTAATTAACAAAACAGGGTAAAAACTCAGGGCTGCAAGGTGGCGCAGTTGGTAGCACTGTTGCCTCGCAGCAAGAAGGTTGCCGGTTCGCGTCCCGGTGGGGGCACCGGAATCTTTCTGCGTGGAGTTTGCATGTTCTCCCCGTGCAGCGTGGGTTCTCTCCGGGTTCTCCGGCTTCCTCCCACACAGTCCAAAAACATGTTGAGGTTAATTGGTGATTCTAAATTGTCCGTAGGTGTGAATGTGAGTGTGCTTGGTTGTCTGTCTCTAAGTGTGGCCCTGCGATGGACTGGCGACCTGTCCAGGGTGTCCCCTGCCTTCGCCCTAAGTCGGCTGGGATAGGCTCCAGCCCCCCGCGACCCTAATGAGGATTAAGCGGTGTATAGAAATGGTAAAAACTCAAACATTATTATTTTAACGCTGTTGATTTTCTTTTGGCTCTAGCTAGAATCTCTTTAAAGCATGCCAAAAGTTCATCTATGATGGAAAAAAACTCTGGATTCGAAAATACTGGTGGCAAATAAGGCAGAATTAGGACTAGATTCAATCAGAAAAGAGTCAGTTTTGGCTGTATACAAGCCAGAGTGTAGTTGAGTGAGCACTAGAGAAAGGCAGTCTTACCAGCATCATGTAGAGCGGTTCTTCCTTGTAGGTCCACGTTTCCAACAGGACAGTTGTGCTGTTAAAACAAAAACATTTTTGACAATAATTTTAACAGAGGAAAGATTCTCTGGTTTCCTTATGTCAATCTAGCCCTCGTCTGACTCTTCAGATGCAGGATGCAAACATAAGCCACCGATCATTTCAATCATTTGTCCGTCCTACTGCTATCTGTATATTACCGTCTTCTTCATGATGGAAAACAACAACAACAACCTCCAAGCAGCAACCTACCACAGTGAAACAGTGAAACTGTGGTACGGTACATTCAGTTTTGCTGAGGATGTGGATCGTGCAGTAAGGCAGCCCTGCTAGTTTTTTGTGGTTGATTATACATTTTAATAACAGTGCTCGTCTCCCTGCATGCAAATATTCCACAACAACAATTCCATCCATCACTGTGGGCAGCTGTGGCTCAGGTGGTCGAGCGGTTGACCTCTAAGCGGTTCGATCCCCGCCCCCTCCACAGTTGAAGTGTCCTTGGGCAAGACGCTGAACCCAAAGTTTCTCCCAGTGACAGGCAAGTGCCTTGCATGGCAGCTCTGTCGTCATTGGTGTATGAATGTGTGTGTGAATAGGTGAATGAGAAACACTGTAAAGCGCTTTGAGTACCACCAAGGTAGAAAAGCGCTATATAAGCACAGGCCATTTACTGTTTTGAGGGAACACCAATGCCACATACTCTACTTAGCTGCACCCAAGATGACAATGATTGCTTTGATCAAACACAAACAAGCAGAGCATTTTTCTCCCCTATAGCAGAATGATGCTGAGATGCAGCCAGACCATTTTGTACTACAGAATGGGCTGGCTAAATGAGACTAATCTTGTTCTGAATATAAATAAACAAACTAATTATGTTTCAGTATTGTAGTTGTGGAAGAAAACACCATCATAAAGCATTTATTTCCAACACTTGGCAGTGGAACCTGACAGTCAACAGCAGGCAGGTCATATTAGGCTAAGTGGTGCTGCGCTGATACGCCTGTGACATCTCTACACAGTCAGTCAGCTGGTTGGACACCCGCAACTGTACCACTGTGGTGATGAGGGCCTGCTATGAAAGCCTTGAGGACTCAATGCTAACAGGGGCCTGATGTTGCTGGGTAAGCTTGCCAGCAAGCTCTGTGCCCCCACTATAAAAACCCAACTCTCTCTAGCAACAAGAGCCAAAAATTAGCAGCACACTCAAATGACATAGTGAAGAGGGGGGTGACAGCGGCAATGGGAACTGACAGTGGAGCATGGAGTTGAGGGTGGGGGGGGATACCCTATACCTTGAGGGTTTGGGCTGACGGAGGGAGATAGTGGAGGTGGTGGGTGTTGGCGTCCAGCTGCTATGTCTGGTGTGATGACGGCACTAAGAATGGACGGCAGGTTTGCAGAAGGGTAGGCTTGTCAACACTGCTGACAACCCCCTGCCAACAGCCGCGACCTCCATTAGATCACTGCCATGTGAGAGGTGGAGTCGGGGGTTGAGGGGGTGGGATACAACACTATGAGAGTACAATGTCGCAGCAATAGCCTCTCATTGTAAACACATAAATCCTCAGTGGGGCACGGTGACTCAACAGGGCCTACTGTTGACCGATATGGAGCGGGCTCAGCAGCCAGAGCTGTTGGGTGTATATTATTTAAGGGGGCTGAGAGGGACACTGCTCTGACTGGCTAGTGACTGGGAAGCTGCTCTATGAAACAAAAATAAAGTAGTGTGCAGATACACAACACAACATCAGCAGCAACGAAAAAGGCACATAAAATGCCCATCACCATCTATTATAAGACATTATCTTGTCATTTGGTTTCCTCTCCTTCAGCGATCAACTGCACTTTACCTGCAGGAGTTTCTGCACACACAGAGAATGTCCATTTCTTGAAGCCAGATGAAGGGCGTTTTTACCTGAAAAACAAGAAAATGACACACATTCACAATCTAGGGTTTGCATGTATGTATTTTTAGAGGCAGTGTGCCCAAATGTGCATTCATCTCTATTTGTTGAGTCACAGCTTGACATAAATGTGTTCGTACAGTATGTGATTCCATTAGTTACAACGTTTAACCAAGGAAAAGATAGCCATGCAATTTTATTGAGGAACCTATTATACTGTTCCCTGAAATGCAGGACATTTAAAATATGGCAAAGTGCCACATTTTTACTCCAAACACATTCAGGTAAAAATAACCATTTTTTTTTTTTTTTTTTTTAAAGTCAAATCAGACCAGGAAGCTCAGATACATCACAACTGCAACAGCAGCTATTGTAGCTTGTTTCCTTTATCTTTGTCTTACTTTCAGAACTTATAAGGCAAGAGTCTTTTAAGTAGGGCTGACTAATAGCAATTTTGTTTTAACTCATGGAAATTACAAGAAAATGTCATTGTATCTGATATACAGATAACTTTAATTTGGTTATACATCAACAATTCCTTTTTCACTAGTAAGAATAACAATGATATCTACAATGACATTTTGTTGTCATTGTGACAGTGTAATAGTGAAAATGCTTTTGCGATATGTAAAACGAAATTGTGACTAGTTATTAAAAGATTGCAGATATTGTTTATCTCTTATCTTACAAGACTTCCCTTTGGCATTAAAGGTTTATCTTATCTCATCTCTTATCTTATCTTAAACATAATTGGTACGAGTACAAATATAATTTTACTCTGTTACATTCAAGATATCTGGAACTACATTCTTAATAGTTACAATTCAATGAGATCTATAACATAAAAACTATAGATATCTAAAGTAAGCATTGCCACTAGTCAAATGACATGCTGATTTCAAAAATTAACATTTATACTTATGAGAATTGAGTGGCCGATATAATTAATTAGAACTGCGGATACTCAAAATTTCATTATGGATATGTTTGCCTGGAATTATAACCAGTCAAAAAGCAATTACTGAAATATGCAGCTGCTATTACCGCTGCTAATTAAAGGTTAAAAAGACTTGCCATAGAATCTTCTGTGTACATCGGTTGTGAAAACAAGGATGGATCAGCTTATTATTCAGCCTAATTTCACATCCAACGTTATGAAGAAAAGAAACACATTTGCTGCTGAGCAGCACTCTGTAGAAAATTAACACACTACTAATAAGCCCAATTTTCTGCCTAACATATCATCTCCATCCCTAAAACATGCAACAGAGTTTGACACCGAGTATGTTAGCCTGCCTTTACTGATAATGTCATCATGTGTAATCAATGTCATGTCACGCGATACCACAATTTATTTTTTTACAATGAAGTCTACTTAACAAAATGAAAATGGACGTCCAGGACACAGCTTTCATCCAACCTGAACTCACCGGTGGCATCACTTGCAGTGACATCAACATTGTGTCCCAGGATCAGATTGAGACAGTCTATGTGTCCTCGTGTTGCAGCCAAATGAAACCTGGAAATAAAAGAGATGGACAAAAATGAAGACAGGAACGACAGACAAGGCAAGAGACAAATTGATATGGTAAAGCGTAGACAGTGCAGAGTTGAGAAGGGCAAGTGAAAACGTGATAGGGTGTAAAGAGAAGGGGGAGAGGGTGAAACTTAAGGACAAGAGAGCGACTGCAAACGGACGCCTGGCTCCTTGAGATCGGCAAGATCAGCATTCTCAAAGCAAATAGCAAAGACCCTCAGGGTTTGTACGGACTCCATGACAACCAAGAGCTACACAAACCTTGTTTTCCTGTATCAGCTTTACTGTGTATGTGAACACCATCAAATGCATAAAATGGCAGACAACCTGCAGTAAATTGCTGCATAAATTCAACAGCACATTTACATTGTTTTGCTTATTGTGTACTCCATTATTTTTCTGTCAGTGAAGGCACCACATTTGGCACAGTTCAAATTGAGGTCATATTAATGGATGTTAAGAGTGTAACTTTAAGAACTGTCGTGTTTCCACAATATGAATAAATTAAGTGGCCTGCATGGAAGAAAATAAAATTGACAATCACAGACTTAAATAATTACTTTTTAAAGTTTATTTCTAAACTTCAAACAGCAGCTAAAAATCTGAAACTCAACTTTTAAGTTAGCATGGACTACAAGTCAATAAGATACTCAGAATGGAAATGAAATGTAGACATGTACATTTCTATGACAAACGAGCAAATTATCTGCTATTGAGGATCCTGTGATTCCATTGCAGATACTAGATTAAAAGTTGACATATAACTGGTTTCTCAACTTTTTTATGTTTAATTGCCACAACATCTGCATATCCTCTTGTTAATAGCCTACTTAGGTAAGCAGGTTCCCTCTGCATGTATTTGTCAAACTGGACACATTCCTATTCCATTTCTCTGATTTAACCCACAGAAGTTCTGTTGCTTCTCACCACGAAGGTCTGCAAAGCATATGTGTGTAAACTAATCTCAGTCTGTCACCCATCAAGCTACATGAGCCTGTTTATACACTAACCCCGAGGTATCTGCCAAGGAGACAGCTAGGCTGTCACCTCAACACTGGCGAGGGTATTAAAAGCCGTGTTGATGGCCAGGAGATGCTGCTCCTCTGGGGAGCCGTGGAGGGTCCTGACCTCGGGTGCAAACTGCAGACAGGAAACAGCCTGGAGCTATCCAAGTTAGATGGATAGAAGTGATGTGACTTGCCAAGTTCATGAGCCACAGCATTTTGAAAAAGGTAACTGAAAGAGCACTTCTGATCAAGAACAAAATTACAATTGCAAATTAAATTAGGGTTCATTTTCTCATGAATGTGATGAATAAGAAATGACGGGTTGCCTGACAGCGAGTGGAAATGCTACCTATTAAAATGTTTCAGACTGAAAATAAGATCTGTTTTTAGGTGATTTAAATTCACAAAAACAGTCTCAATTAACAAGTTAACTGAGGTAACCACATAAAAACCGAACTAAAAAATCTGAGATACCAACAAAACAGGAAAATGTCTCATGCTAATTGGGCAGACAGCTGGGTGATGAGGCCACATACCAAGTGGACTAAAATGCCCTTATAGCCGAAAATCAAATCCTGTCTGGCCAGACCTTTGCGGTATGTCATTCTCCTGCTCTCTTTCACCACATTTCAAATAAAGGCAGAAAATGTCAAAAATCCATCTTAAGAAATGTCTGACACTGACCAAAAACAAAGAATTGTCTGGAGACCACAGTAAAATGGTTAGAGACCAATGGGTTTGGCTTTAAAGAGCACATTCAGCTGTCATTTCATCTTCACACCTGCTCCTTGGGCAACTTTCAGGTTGATGGTCCACAGGATATGGCTGCTATTTTTAAACGAGTGGAAAGGGAAGACCAGACAGTATACGCTGGTAGCCGAGCCATATGTGATGAAGTGTCTCTCTGAGGACGCAGCGGCTGCAATGCTACAGATACTTCTTTGTTCTGACACTGATGAGTATTTATGCTACCTCACAGCTTGACTATAATCTGTTTTGTTTGGTCCCACCCTCATACTTAACACATTAACTGGGTTCTATCTACTACTTGGGAAGTGCATGTAATTATTCTCCCTAAGTATTTCTGTCAAGTTTAATCAATCATTACTGAACTTTGTATAAAGAAGTTTGCAAGTCCTCTGGGGAATTTATTTACCAGAGAGAAACCACAACATTGATTATTTCAAAGCTAGAAAATCAACCTTTTTGTGTGGTAGTCACACTAGCATTAAAGGCTGCATTTTTTTTTAGTTATCACTGAATCAGAAATTAAGTGTCTTATAAAACTGGTAATTCAGGATGACCCCACAGTGGCTTATCACCCAATTCTGCAGGACTGTTTTTAGAAAATCAGCCTTTATTAACAGACTGTCTGCTACATCGATACCAAATGTCAGGCAAAGGTCAGCAACATAAATTTGTCAAGTTGTAAGTTACAGCACTGTAGACATGCTAAATGTTTCAGTATCATGTCTGTCATCGTGTTTTGAACCTCTTCTACTTCATAGATACTGACTGGGATAAATTGCACATCTCTAACAGGATCCAAATCTTCTGTTCGTTGATTTTTGTACAATAACAACAAGAATGACAGGGATTGTCTAGTTATTAGGAAATGCAAGTTGATGGACTTGAGTGTTTTCAGTGTTATAAACGGAGTCCACATAAACCTAATTGCCCTTTTAACTAATTCATAAAAAACACATAAATACACAGTCTGTTCTCAGTCTGTCACAAGATTAGGCTCAACATCATGCAGCTCCAACTGTGAAACTCGCAGCTTGCTATTGTTATTCTTAAAAGACACTTGAGCACAAAATTCATTACTGCTAATCCTAACAAACAATGGGCACTCAGCAGTGTCTTCACTCAGTGCCAGTTTCATGCTGCAGGGCCGAGTGCATCACTCTCTTGAGTGGTGTGCTGTCATGTGGACTTCTTTTGCTGCTAAGCTCTTGTCAGCTAGCTATCACAACTGCGCAGAATGAGCAGGGGTGATGGGTGGGCTTACCTCACTGGGATCCAGCTAATGCCACAGCAGAGATGTAAACTGTTTACTCAGCTGGGAGCTGCGATAGAATAGTTAGAGCTGAATTTGTTAGCTGAACACAGCGAGGCTAATCCAGGGCACAGCAAATGATATACTGGGGGTAACAGTTTGTAATTAGTTTCCCCACAGAGGTCCATGATTACAAGGAATCACCATTCAGCATTCCTATGCTGGCTTTTGCAAAGGCCAGAATGCCACAGACACATGTTGTCTGTGTGTGGCCCACTGAACTATAAGCAGAATTGCTGAGTTGTGATTGTGGTTACTTTTGTTTTGGGTAGACATGGCTAAAGCATAACCTCTATTCCTAAACATTCAGTTAAGCTGATTTTTCAGAGTTAACTAGTTCTGGTCAGTGTCCCCACAGGGGAACACAAAATGATGAGCCTGTGTTTGGGTACAACAACCGCTACAGTCTCTCACTGCAAAATTGGCAGTCATGGTTCTGGATTTAGTTCTGACAAATTCTAGCACCTTATTATGAGACCAGGCATTTATCAGGTTATGTGTATAATTCTGTTTATTCACATGCATGCATGTACACAATCACTGGTATATGCAACGGTGCCATGAGGGAATTTCACACACTGCTGAAAATACTCTGCACCTTTGCTTCTGGGATCTGGCGCTCCATAGTTTTATAGTTTAACAAAGCCTTTGTCAAAATAAACGTGTAACACAGGCTACTGACTTCTTCATATATCTGAGATTAAGCTGGGGGCGCCTGGCCTCCCAAAATGCTGGTGTTGGAATCTGGTTAAATTTAGGAAGAAAACAAAGTACCTGCTTTTTTAAACAGCTTACTACATTGTTTTCCAGACCCTGGCCATTATGTTCATTAATAGGACAACAATAAAGGTCCCACCTTTCATGTCTTCCTGTCCTTCCTTTCTGTTCAACCTCGACTTCAAATGAAACCTTGTGAGGGGTGTAAATCCAGTTGTTTGAAAAGCACAATCCCCAAAAACCTCAGGCTCCCACTGAGAAATCCTGCCATATAAAACACAGTCCTTCAAGACGTCAACTGATCCTGATAATGGCCTGCAGCTGGGCCTAAATGTATTACTTGGTGTTGTGAACACCCCACAGTGGATCTGATCTGAATTTGCAGGGAGTCATTTCCTGTAAGGACAACATAAACAACCTCTGGCCAATGTGGTCAAGCCTTTAGTTACCACAAACATTCTTTAAACCAACTCCCACACTGACCTCGAGTCAGATGGACACTACAAGGGAGTTTTCTGGATATAAAAATGGAGACATAATAATATGCAACTGCAGTGGCTGTCATTCGCAGGACAGCTGGACCCCTGAAGTTCATACAGGGATCCGTGGCATTGATGTAATAAAAGGAGGTAATAAGTAAAAGTATTTTGGAGTAAGAGTGACCTAATTGTAAAGGAATTCTAGAGATGCTTTATCAGGGAAATGGGGTCAGGAATGTCATGTGGTGGGGGGGCCACTACAGTGTTTGGAATTCTTCATACTGAGTATTTTTGAATTTGCAAATATTCATCAAGACAAACTGAACAGTAACAATCAAGAAAAACAAACAAACATAAGTGTATGTAAGTATTCTGCACGTTCAATTCAGTGTAGTTCAGATAATGTCTTACCTGTTCAACATGTGCTGTAGAAAAATCACATTTCTTTGACTACATACAGTGCTGTGAAAAAGTATTTGCCCTCTTCTCAAATTCGTATTTTTTTTGCCTATTTTGCCCACTTTAATGTTTAAGATCATCAAACAGTGTTTTGGATCGTTGTCCTGCTGCAGAACCCAAGTGCGGTTCAGCTTGAGGTCATGAACTGAAGTCTCCCTCAGGACTTTCTGGTAGAGAGCAGAATTCATGGTTCCATCAATCACAGCAAGTCGTCCAGGTCCTGAAGCAGCAGAGCAGCCCCAGACCATCTCACTACTACCACCATGTTTGACTGTTATGGTAGATGGTATGATGTTCTTTTTCTGAAACGCTGTGTTACTTTTACGCCAGATGGAACGAGACTCACACGTTCCAAAGAGTTCAACTTTCGTCTTGTCAGTCCATAGAATATTCTCCCAGAAGTCTTGGGAATCATTCAGATGTTTGTTTGCAAAAGTAAGACAAGCCTTAATGTTCTTTTTGGTCAGCAGTGATTTTCGCCTAGGAACTCTGCCGTGAATGCCATTTTTGCCCTGCAGTCTCTTCCTTATTGTTGAGTCATGAATACTAACCTTAACTGAGACAAGGGAAGCCTGCAGTTCTTTAGATGTTGTCTTGTGTTCGTTTGTGACCTCCTGGATGAGTCATCACTGTGTTCTTGGGGTCATTTTGGTTGGCCAGTCACTCCTGGGAAGGTTCACCACTGTTCCATGTTTTCTCCATTTGTGGATAATGGCTCTCACCGTGGATCGCTGAAGTCCTAAAGCTTTAGAAATGCTTTCCAGACTGATAGATGCCAATTACTTTATTTCTCATCTGTTCTTGAATTTCTTTGGATCGCTGCATTTTGTTGCAGCTTTTTGAGATGTTGCGGCAGACTTAACTTTGTCAGACAGGTTCGATTTAAGTGATTCCTTGATTGAACAGGTCTGGATGTAGTCAGGCTTGGGTGTGGTCAGTGAAATTGAATTCAGCTTTCCAAAAAATGTGTTTAGCCACAGTTAATTATTGATTTAACAAGGGGGGCAATTACTTTTTCACATAGGGCCAGGTAGGTTTGGATAGCCTTTTTCCCCTAAAACATTAAATCACCATTGAAAAACTGCATTTTGTGTTTACTTTGTTTTTATTGTCTAGTATTTAAATTTGTTTAATGGTCTTAAACATTGAATTGGGGGAAGTATTAAAAAAATAAGAATTTGAGAAGAGGGCAAATACTTTTTCACGGCACTGTATGTCATCATACTATGCAGGGATGTGTGTGTGTGTCTGTATATAGATGTGTTTGTCTGTGTTTACTCACGCAGAGCGTCCTTCAACGTCGAGCTTGGTGGGGATGATGCCCTTCTTACTGAGAACGGCAGCAACCTTGTCCACTTCCCCACGTTCCACTGCCTTCATCAGCCGATCGTCATACTTGTTCCAGTCTGTGTTCTGACAATGATCAAATTGAACTATCAGACGTACAGTACATTTGATAGTTTTTCCGTCTTAATTGTCTACTACAATAATAGACTAGAAGAGAAGTTAATGCAGAACGTGCCAAGAATGTGAAGTACTGCAGTATTACTAAATCCCCCCTATGAGTGATGGCTACAAAGCATGGGAACAAAGTACTCTTAAGGCTTCTGAGAAGCACATTTAAGCATGATGATTTATAGTGGAGGTCAAAATGATGAGAACACAAGCACAAACAAGCACACACTGTATCCTTAACTGAAGTTAAAGCACAAGCAATTTGTATGTACACAACAGCAATGAACAGAAATCAAATAGATAATACTACACATGCATCATTTTGACAGCATGTACAATGTAGGTGTGAAGCAATTAAAAAGTCAAAGGGATCCATCAATAGTAATTGTCCTAATGCCTCAGGAAGAATTCCTTATCACATTGTCACTTTTTTAAAGCTCTGAAGTAATTCCCCATGTCCATGAAATAACAAGCACAGAGGAAACAATAACTGCAAATAAAGAATTAACAAATTAGCTTTTGGTGACAAAGTAAAATTACTGACAATTAATACCTACAAAGTGCATGGAGGTGCATTTCAGCCAGCGGCTCATCTTGGGTGAGTGGAGCTGGTCCTTGCACCGCGCTACTGAAAAAGTTGCCACGGTTCCGGTTTACAAAAGCAAAAAAATGAGAAAATCAAAATATATATATATAAAAAACCCCTCAGCCTCTCAGTGCACTCAACCAGTGAGTGCAACAAAAATGGATGAGAAGACAAAGGGTGAGAGTCTGTACTGCAGTGGGACTCCTGTCGAAGGCTCAACCTCACGAGTCTCCCTCACTTGAAGCACAGAAGTTCATTTGGCTGGATTTTCTAAGCATTCCTCTGTTGCTCATGAGCTCTGCCTGCAAGTTCATCACTGCACAGCAGTTTGGTGGATGGTTAAAGGGAGGAAAAGGAGGAGTAAGAGAGGAGAAAGGAATGGAGGTGGAGAAGCAGTAGGGCCAGCCCTGCCAGCACCGGGACCTGCCCTGGCCGGCAACTGCAACTCCTCCTCAGGGGGGAAGTCAGCTCAGCCTGGCTACTCCTTGCCTCCCCCAAAAGTCGTTCCCGCTATTCTCGCCTTTATCCTTGCACCTTTTGCTTAACTCAGTCTTCTTCGGTTTTGATACTCTTCCTCTTGCTTGCTGCTCTGTTTTCTGACTGCAAACGCTGCAAGCTGCTTGCTTATCAAGTAGCAACTAACGGGCTTCTCTCGCTGCCTCTTCTCTGCTCTGTCAGTGGTCTCCAGCTTCTTCACCCCACCAAATGGCAAGGTCAGTCAGGCTCAGTGGGGTAAATATGTGAGCTCTCCCAGGTTTAAAATATCACCCCCTCCCTGGTAAACAGCAGCGGTGCAGACAGCTCTGTAGACTGGTTACCTCTTTATTTTTTGACCCTCCAACCTTTCTGTAGTGACTGATAGGAAGACAGGGGCTAAGAATACATTCTGGACATGCCTGCACCATGAGTAATGGCTTTAATGTCTATCACCACTGCCTGCATGAAACAAGGCCAGCCAAAAAGACCTTGCTTACATTGCCACCCCCAACCATTCTCCCTGTTTGCCTCCATCTGAAAATATTAATGTCAGAGGGGGATTATGATTTGCACATTTGAAGTGGTCTTGGCACTGACCCTCAAAGGACACTACTGGGCCAAAAGCTGCTGTTAACCCATCCATCTAAAGAGGGTGGTGTGGCTCCAAAGCCCCCTGATCTGTGCTGCACGGTAGCAAGGTTAGATGTCAGCTTTTTACAACCAACTGTCTGAGACTGCAGCCCCACCAAAAAACTACAACTATACAGCCTCTTCACCTCCACTAACACCCACATGGTAAACACTTCAAAAGCACAACTTTCTCTTTTATGAAACATCACAGGGAAAAAGGTGCAGAGACAGTAACCCAAGGAAAGGAAGAAGAGGTACAAGGGGACCCGTTTAATTTACACACTGCATCAGCTCCTTGCGGGCTCGTGTTACTGTCCGCTGCCAGACTGGCGTTAACAGAGCAACACTGATATCCACAAACATGCAAAAAGACCTCCTCCGCATGACATGTCATATGAAGAAGTAGGTGTCAACTTACGAAAGCTGCTCAGCCCAGCATGGAGACAAAGGCGCCAAAATGGCACCTAGCCATTACATACATTGGTCACGTAAATATCTCACATGGGTGTGCTGGTGTGTGTGTGTATTTGTTTGGGAATCTGTTTATGCACTAGTTAATAATAGGGCTGTTAGCAAGCAGGAGTCGCCACTGTAGTTGTCACCGTCTTTCAGGAAGAGCTGCTCGATATTACCACATCAGATATCATAACAGGTTTTAAAATACAACTTGATGCTATACAGTGATATGACTATGTGCACAACCAGAACAAATTTGGTCTGAACTATGCATACGTGACAAAGGTTTTCTAGCTATGACGCCAATTTTCTTTTTACTCAGAGCAGTCAAATGATCTAAACCTGAATCTCTTTACTGTACTGCATCTTTTAAGACCAGGAAAGACGATGATAACAGATGATATATCTAGTTACGTATCATGACGTCAATGTGATGCCAGTGTATCTCCCTGATTTACTGTCATATACTGGAACCGGACACTGCTGAAATAATGACAGCAAATTCAAGCACGTAAATATTTGGCTGGTATATTTTAAAATGCTGAGCGTAACAATATTTAATGTGAAGTGTATGTAAGGCTAAAAGATACTAGGAGGAAAGGTAAGGGGATAGGGGCACTTTTTAAGTTTGAAATTCAACCAAATACCTAGATATCTTGATTTTTGTAGCTTTAATTCTATGAAACAATTAACCCACTTCTGTTAAATATCTTAACACCAAAATAGTCTACCTCTTACTGACATAAGATGCATTTTTCATTATCAGTTTCAACTTTTCATTGCTTCTCTTTTGATGAATTGCAATGTTGATGCAAAAATCTAACTTAGATGCTTTTGTGGCATGTTTTTATTTCACTATGTGACTGGTCATTTGATGTGAATCTGATTCCACACAAACATCAGCAGTAGAGTAGGATTTTCAAACACATGAGCAACAAAACACAAAACTAAACATACATTTATGTTTGTTGCTCATATGAGACGCGAATCTGTTTTTTGTGTAAACCAGAAAAATGGATGGATTTTTATGTTTGCAAAACCCCATCTTCCTTATTTTGGTCTTGAATATGCCCCAACTATGTACATTTTTATTTTTTTTAAATAAACTTTTACAGTGGACGACAAAGACCACAGTGTGTGCCAGGAAGTTGGGAACTAATTAGCAAAGGAGTTGAAACTAATTAGCAAAGGAGTTAACAGGTTAACAGTTGTACGACTATGCAGAGCTTCAAACTGTGGAAATGTGCAATTCAGAAGAATCGTGTTACGTAATTTAACAGTCGCTAGCTGTGAAACATTTTCATGGCATTCTACGTTTGTGGCAGACACACTTTTTTGATGGTATCTCATGGAGTATTTTAGCAAATATTGGACTGAACAAACAAACTAAGCAACAAATCCAAGTTGAGCAGTAAGGCTTACATTGCAAATGTAGTATAACAGCACTAAACAAATGGTAGGGCTGAGGCTGAATTTCAAGTATTTGGTTATAAAACTAAGTAGTTCATGGTCATTTATCAGTGGTTGTCCAGATATTTTTGGTAAAACCCTAACTCTGGTCAGGATTCATCTACTGGCCACCACTAAATATCTGAACCAAGCTGTATGGCAATGGACTTAGTTTCCACCACAACAATGGACCAACTGATCAACCCACTGACCGAACTTGTTTTTGCGAGAGCCATGGTGAGCCTTCAAAAAAGAAATGAGCACAGACAAGTTAAAAAAAAGAAAAAGAAATCTGTCTTGGAGCAACCAGCTTCCCAATGCATGTATGAAATATATTGTACATACTGTACATTGTGTTGTTAAAGCTGGAACAATATTCAACACGAGTTGTCTGGAGCTGAAACAAACACATTACCTAAAGTTTCTATTTTAACACAGTGACTTCAGGGGCATAACATCACCTGACACCAGATAAGGCAGGTTAGGCCTCTACCTGTCTTCACAGATTATTCTGGGAGTCTGGGAATGCTTCAGTAAGGTCTCCTTTCATCTTCAGTTCAGGTTTTCCATCACTTTCTCCAGCCTCTGACACTTGTCCAACACCTCAGTTTCCTGCCTCTCACAGTCTCTGGCCCGACTAATGGGTCTCTAATGTCCTCACAGATGAAATCACCAGCAGGAAATATCTAACTGGTCATTTGATAACAGACTGAAGCAAAGACCAAAACATAAAGCTATAAGCCAATATGTTAAGAGATAGTCGGATCCAGTGCTGAAGTTACTGATGTGGTTTCATATGATAATTACTATGAGGATTATCATGATCGTGGGAGACGTCTGCAAAGAGACAGACATTATGTCATAAAATATAAACCTTTGACATTTTAGTGTAAAGGTGTATGCAAGTGCACACCATTTGCAGTGCTTTTTCTTCTTTTAGTGCTTTTAAAGTAAGGATGAAAAAATCTTAAAAGTGTATAAAAGTGACAAAAAGGACACTTTCACACTTAGGTTGCCTGAAGGTACAAGTTTTTTTGAGTCCAATGCAACAGAAAGAGAAAAAACATCACATGTTCTCATTTCGTGCTTTAATGCATTCCAAATTCATTTGAAGCTAACATAATACTTACAGGTAATCATATGTGTATCGTGCCAATTTCTAATGTTTTCAATGCAAAGATACCTTCACAACACCCCAAAAAAGAAACACTAGCCACAATGTATATTTATTATGCATGTAATTCTGTATATTTTAAGCTCACTTGAGGTGGTTTTTGAATTTTTTGAAAAAGAGTTAATGTGCTTCATAAGCACAATAAGTTCTGACGTAGCAAGCATTTAACTCGCATACCTGATCAGCTATTTCTGCCAAACAGCATGAAAAAGGTGCCAAAACGATCTGGCATGAAACAATAATTGCAACCTTGCCTGAACAAAACAATTCCTGAAGACATTTTTTTTTTCCTGAGATGGCCAAAATTAAATTTTTTCATTCTTCTACTTCCACCCAACCCCCCAAAAAATAATAACATGGGTGTCTGACTATATGATCCAAATCCCCTGCAAAACTTGAAAATTTCAGTGCAGAGGTTGCTTACACACAGACAGTGGAAAGAAAGACAAAGCTGACTGAAATGGCCAGTGGCTTATTCCTGCATTCTCCATCCAGTGAGTCAGACCAGTATGGACACTAACAATGATTACTTTTGCACTCCTGCAAGATTGTTGTATTAGGACAGCCTTGAAACATCTGATCCTATCCCTTAATGACCGTACTTTAGCCGGCATGACAAGATAAAGACATATAATGCAACACCAAACTGCTCAATTTGGACTCTCAGAACTACAAACAACAAAGCAGGCTATTACTATTTAATTTAAGCCATGTCTTGCCATTTTTATATTAACCCTCCTAACATCAAGTAGTTTCTGGACATTTTCTCCTTCTGCCACCTATTTACTCATTGTGGGCTCATTTTTCACTGCAATATTAAGTACTGCACATCTAACAGCATAACTATGGCTAGAAGGAGAGAGAACTCAAAAATCATTTTTTTAACTGTACACATCAAAAAAAGGGGCAATTATTTATTTTTAAAAATTGAAAAAAAAAGGAATCAGTACATTCAACATTCTTCCAATGATATTGATTGGCTCTTTGGCAACATCTTTACATTTTTACAAACTTACACACGACTACCTAGACATTTCACTGTGCTGAATGTATCTTCCAACAACTTGCTGACTCTTCATAAACCCAGCCTGTACGTCACTCGAAAAAAGTCACAGAATTTTTTGTCATATTACTGTTGGTTGCAGCTGAGCTAAGCCTTGTGAGCACTCCTTTGCGAATTTACCTATGACAGCTGCGGACACCCATGGACACATAGTTGTTATTATGGTGCTTTTCTGGTCCATGGGAGTCTGCTTGGAGGACTGCATTGCATACATGTGCAGAAGACTGTATCTATGCATTCTGTGCATATACGCTGCTGCCAAGCATGCGCAGTCCTGCTCGTGTCGTCTAGATGCCCTGTGGACACAAATTTTCGGCTGCACAAGGATATGGAAAGAGGGGTCTAACACTGACCTCATTGATGGCTTCTTAGTTGTGCTGAGAAGTGCAGAATTTTTAGTTCAGGTTTAATTTTTAGTTTGTTTAGTGCATACAGTTTAATTTTTAAATGA